TAAGGAGCTTCTTATAGATAAGATTTGTCATAATTAGATTCAGGATACATTTAGAATACAAGGTATCTGTCACAGTAAAACTATTAACTACATCATTCATGATCAGGTTCCTATCTAGGAAGGATTCAGTGTCCTGATTAGAAAGATGAGTTACTATGCACAAAATCCCTCATAACTAACCTAAATCAGGAGGGGGGAAAACCCACAGAATTGAAAAAACAATAAATTAATTAGTGTTGTTTTACTTGCTACTAAGCGTTGCTTTTATTTGCCAAATAACTTAAAAGTGGATCCTAATTATATCTAAATACCGAACTCTAATTCCTATTGATCATCCATTACTCATTTTTACATCGTATTTGAAATGAGATATTTCACCCTAACAATGTAAGGCAGCTCCTCTGATGATCCTCTAACATTTCTGATGATAGGATCTGGAGAAAACTACTTACATGCTTGCTGGCACTACAATGAGAAAATTTAAGTTAACAAGCAGACTGTCAACTTCACGAGTCTTCCTCTTAGCCTAACTGGATTTCCAATATACCCTGACTCCTGAAAACCCTGATGCCTTAGGTATTCATGTGATAAACTGGATTTTTAAATGCATTAATCTGTACTGTAGCAAGAAAAAGCCTTTTTGTAAGTCTGACTCACGGAGTTTGAAAGTGAACATTAAAAGTCAAACCTGACAACACTCCTGACAGTAATTCCAACTATAGGAAGGGACTCAACAAAGGGCAAAAACATGTCACACAAATCACTCCAAATATTGCCACTGCCCTCTGTTCTTTTGCTAAGCCAAAAGGGCAATTTGAGAAAAGATCAGACAACCCCTGCTTGTGGTTTTGGGAGCCTTTGCATCCTACACAGCTCTTTTTCACCTGCCCCATGTATTAGAAGAGAGGGTTTCTCTCAACTGTGGCAAGAAAAAAAGTTTTTCTTAGAAAAAATGGAGTTATTACTGAAATACAGTAGAACAAATCCTTGCAGGTCAAGTAATTATCTTCATCTTACCTTAAGACTGCCTCATTTTCAGTTCAATCATGAAAACCTGCTAAATTCTCTTAGGCAGTAGATTTATAAAGAACACTCACAACTCCAAAAAGGTATGTAGTAACCATTTCCAATTATTTTAACAGATATCACAGAAGATTTTTCAGCTGTTCAGAGATTACCTTCTGGTGCAAATAACCTTCAACAAAACTGTCTACACTCAGATTTCCTTTAGAGAACATGGGCAGGCAAATTTGTAACAATTCAAAGATGAGGTTCATTCCCTCTATGCATAAAATGGTCTTAAAGAAAAAAAAAAAAACCAAAACATTATTTTAAAAATTTACCTATTACTGCACACACACACCCCCCCTGCCCCAGTGGAGCAGTTCCTAGGTTCACTCATTAGTTAATCTTAATGTCTCTGCAATTCTGTTCTGTTCCTAGAATTCAAACATAAAAAGTTCTAGAGGACAATAAATTTTAATTACTGTGACCCTCTGTATTTAGTTAGTATGTAGCCACTAGGAACTAGCCACTTATTTTTTTTCAGCTCCAGCTCGATCCACAAGCTATTATTGGTGTCTGCAACAAAGCCAGGAATTCAGTAATTGAAGTTAAAGCCATGTCATTTAAATCCAGCTGGCACAATCAGAATGATTACTGAGCATGTCTTTCAGAAGAGAAACAAAGCACAGAAAAAAAGAATGAAATAGAAATATACGCTACTTTTTTTTTTTTAGCAAGCATCCACAGACAGAAGACTTGGAAAAAAATTTATACATAACATTTAATTCCCCTTGAGAAAATGAATGTCAAACATCTGAGTGCCATTGGTGTGACCTTCAAATGTATTAAAAAATGGATGACACTGGAATTATATTGTTACAGCAATGAGTTCAGCATTAACATCCACGTGCCTGTGTGAAACAAATCTACATGTATCTACAAACACAACAAAAGTATTTTCATTTTTTCTTTTTTTTTTTTTTAACCAAGAGGTAAATGCAAGAGATAAGATCTTGACACTCAAATACAAAAGTATTCGATAGGTTTTTTTTCCCGTTTTGCTGAATTTCTGCCTCTTAGGTATTTGTGACCATTGCACCAGCATGAGAGAGTAGCCTAGGTAAGTCTTGGATCACACACTGCTTCTGTTACCCAAATACCACACTGAGACTGAGCCTGTCTGTCATCTCACATAAGCATCTCCCTCGTCAGGCAGCAAAGACTGTACACCCAGGCAGGAAATCTACTGCCTCTCCAAAAGCCCTCTCAAATCTTCACATTTCATACCAGAAAAAGCAACAACTTTGGGCATCTTTCAGAAGAAATTTCAAGCATTACATCAGGATAGTCTTTAACAATGTTACATGGCTGGTCTTTCCAGCTTTGACTCAGGTCACCTCAACTGACAATGGACATTTAAACCAGAACTTTAAACTCCTCTATAATGCAAATATACAGGAAAAGAAAATAGAAGTAATTTCTTTCTTCAAGAAAATAGAAGTAATAACATGATTTTGCTCTGGACTGAACGTCAAATTCTACAACCACGCTTTGAGAAATACAAGGTGTCACATTTTACTTCACGTCCAGATCCAAGCAATTGGATTTCCACCCAGGTAATGTCCAAAAGCTCTGATCATGACCTTCACTGGGTGGGAATTTCCCCAAAGCTTTGGCTAGGCACGGAGCATTCCAGTGAGTCTAAAACCTCAAAGTTCATGTTATATGCTGCAGAAGCTCAATGCCTGTCACTTTGACTGAATTTACCAACCCCTCAAACTAAAAACGCTATTTACACCTAAAACTGACAGGCAAAAAAAAAAATAACATGAATCCAAAATGTCCTTGATCCCGCTTGTCTGTGTTAGTAACAAAGATGTAAGGCATTATCTTCAAACTTATAAATCCATCAGTGTCATGAACTAAACAAGTCCAACAGACTTATGGCTTCATGTACAGCCAACAGAAATAAAAGAGAAGCTTTCCACTGAAGTCTTTTGCCTGATGCCTGTTAATCCCCTTCACACAAGACAGTTTGTCTGTGGACACAGTCCTGGAGGAGGAGAAAGCCATTTGGCCTGTTTTATGTACAACTGCACAACGGTGCCTAAGGAAAAATTCACCACATCCACTTAATTCAGCTTTTTTAGGTGGTCTCAGGAGAGCAGTTTGAAAAGGTTCACAAAGACAATGATATCCATTAATCAGCCTATTTTGCAAAACCCATCCAAGTGCCAGAGTACAATTGTCTTCACCTATCTGGTGATCAAAGTTCAGGTACTAGTATTCCTTTTTCTGGGTTGTTTTGGTTTTTTTTTTTCACTCCCTCTCCCCACCTCCCCCCCAGGGGGATAAAATTTAAAATTTTAGATCCTCAAGCACCAACAAACTGTATTTTGAAGGCACACAGGCCATTTTGTTAAATGCACCTCTAACTGACCCTGATTTCTCTTCATGAATCTAACACATAATGCTGATTTTTCTATAAAGCAATTCTTAGGACCTACTTCAAAGATGAATTTATAAATACTGTTTCTTTTCTTACCTGTAACTGAACAACCTAACCAGTTACATTTCTGTAAAAACCGAATAACTTCACAGACTTCAGTTAACTAATGTGGGATTGACTCAATAATTAACACGGACAAATTAATGAATCAAGTTAGCAAAGGGCTACTATTTAAATATTTTCTTTTCTCTTCAAAGAGCATAGCTGTAGTCAGAAGAGAACAGAACATCCATGCTGAAATTTAATACAATTTTGAGCCCTCCACATATCTTTCAGGTTAAAACTAAGTAATGTGGATGAAAAACAGTGCATCGCTTACCATGAAAAAAAATTACTGCTGCCATACATAAATATGCAATAATATCAGCATGTGTAAGCAATTAGTAAAAAATAGAGCAGGATATTTAAAAAAAAAAAAAATTGAAGGAAATTGTAACATTAAAATCTTCTACTATCTGTGCTTGCTCACCCAAGGAAACCATTTACACCTGGAGATTGCAGTAGCTTCTGCTGGAACTTACTGAGACACACGATTTTCTTGTTTATTCTCCATGCCAAACTTTTGGTCTGTGTGCCATGATTTTGGAACATTTGGTTTGGAGGAAGTACCAATTTCGCTACTTCCAGTAGATACCTCTTTAGGAGACCTTGAGAAGCCTCTCATCTATCACATAACTTGAAGGAAAAAAATCAATGCTAAAACATGTGAGAGGCGAGCAGAAATAGCTTTTTGGAAGCATCTCTCTTTCATTCTGCGTGGAGATATGATTTCTAGTTTGATGCTTCATCACCTGGGAGCAAAAAGATCTTTCCCAGCAGTGCTGCAAGGTGCAGCAATATCTGTGTGTCTGTAAGGGTGAGGCAGATGGCCACAGAAATTCAAAATTACTTGAGCTTGGAACATGCTAGTTACTACTCACGAGTGTATTTACAGATCCAACTTGCAGTTGCAAGAATGGGATTATTCTAAGAATAATTCCTACTTTCTGTGACTTAATTACAGTATCAGAGTGACAGTAATTCAGGTACAAATATCAAACATGCCTACTGGCTGCACTTGTTCCTTTTTCTTTCTCCCTCCCAAAAAGGATTGGAATCCTTTTTATAAGTATAAATCTACAGCAAATATATAAGAATACCCCAAAACAAGAACAACAACAGAGCTGCAGGCAAAATAACACTGAATAACATGACTACACAAGAATAATAACTGAATAATAACAACTTCAAAGGCATTCGAAATACAGGCCTCTAAGTGACTGCATTATGAAAGACTGCTATGGGAAAAGGATACACCGAATGTACGACACTTCTCTGTCTTTAATCCCCATTTACTGGTAGTCTGAAAGGTGAGACGGTATCAGGAAATTTATGACAGCACACTTTTCTTTAGTTCAGGGTACATATGGCCCTTCCACTCTTAAATACTGCAAGTGTAACTGAATAATCATTGATTTTCATTATTTCAGTTCAGACAGCAACTTACCTAAAAATGGATCACCATATTCTGTATTAGACAACTTAAGCAAGTTGTTTTCCAAAGTCTCCACCACTTTAGCTGTAATAAAGGCAACATTCATATCAGCATTCCGATGTATTTTGTAACTAAAAGATATACTTTCTGAAGTTGTTTTAAAACTTTTACACTGAAAATTTTGAAGAGCACTTTCCACTGGTAGAAAAAATAACAAGGTCACTGTAATGAAGAATTCCACTCTATTCCTGAGAGAATTTTATCTTGGTAAAATAATAGATTTCTAGAGTAATAATTAGTGTCTTATGTCTATCAACATTAAGGAAAGAGAGTTATCAAAATCTAGTAGCAAAAGTCAGATAAAGGTTCACACACAGCTGGGCAAGAGTGGATGGCAGTAGCTGGCCACAGGCAACACACAGTGACTGAGATCTCCAACTGGACTAGTTTCTCTGATAAGGCATGTTTGTCTATTAAATCAGAAATCCTAAAAAAAAACCCAACTAGTTCCTTATTCCAGTACAAACACAAATTCAGAGGGATTTTCTGCCTTCGCTCTCATTTTCTCCATACCACTCTTCCCTGGTTCTGCCACTGATGAATGAATGCATCTGTTCCTACATGTTCTTACTTAAAGACAGCTTTTGCCAGAAGCCTACAATTTATTTTTTCTCCCTCTCCTAGGACAGACCACAGAAACCTTCACGCTCTTCCCCAGCACACCTGAGCACTTTCTTGTCTTGTTTCCAGTGAGAAGGAAATAATATCCTAACTGAGAAAAGCAGAATAAAAATAATTTAAAGCCTCACTTCGGACATAATGAGGATTCACTCAAGAACCTGGTACTACGATACGTGTAGGTGTTTTGTGCAAAAACATTTCTCCAGTAAACTGCGGATACCCAAACAAGTCAAAGCTTAGCAGTGTTGGAACAATCTCCTGAGAGAGAAAAGCCTCCTACCTCGTTCTGACACCACATCCACCGTCGCTGTCGATGTCCCTGCACTGAGAGGCTGTGGCTGGACACGGTTTGGCTGCAGGAATGAGGAATGCTTGCTCAGGCTCTGAGGATGTGTTTGGCTCTGGACCAGGCATGGCATAGATCTTCTAGAAGGTTTTAATGGATGGTCTTTCACTGTTTCACTCTTGCTTGTATTCATACCTGGAAAAAAGCCAGAAGAAAAATGAAATAATAAGCTCTACCATGTTAGGCCACGACAAAGAAAGATAGCTAATTATGAAACCACTTCATAAGCAACCCTCTTACTAAACAAAAATGTTTTGTCACACTATAAGGTTTGAAGAGTTTAAAAAAAAACAAGCAAACAAAAAACCCCAAACAAAACAAAACACACAAAAAAACCCAACAACAAAAAAGCAAAACTAAAATACAGATGCCAAAGGTATGACATTCTGTAAAATACTTACGTTTTCCTTACAAAAATTTTCCCTTCACCATTATGGAAACATTAATGCTCTTAATACTTCTACCTCTGGGGTAACCTTTGTGAAAAAACATCGTAGAAGCACTAACAAACGTGTCAAAAAACCCCCAACATTCCAAAGTCAGCTGGAACAAAACAGCTGGCACAACACTTTGGAAAAAGCCCCACTCTTAAGAGGTGTTTCTGAGATAGGAAGAAACTAAGTAGCTTTCCTCAGTGATTGGGAGAAGCAAAAGTGAGAAAAATCCAAAACAGAGAACCATACAGGCTGCTACGAAGAAAACCAACTCCCTCCCTCCCAGGCAGATCCAGTGAATACAGTCCGAAGCCAACATCAGAAATCTTTGCTACTTCCTTGTCCAGATGCCTCAGGTGATTCCATCAAGAATTAATGCCCTGTGACCTCTGAGAGACTGCTGCCTCTCCTGTCAAAGGGAATGCTGTGGAAAGACACCACAGAAGAAAAAAAATGCAGCCTGCAAAATGTCTGGGATGTCTCGATGAACAAGGATATACACACAGATTAGGATTAAAAATACATTAATATTGCCCTCTGCCAAAAATTAAAGGTGCAGCAACAGAATAACAGATAGAGTTGGGTGCCCCCCCAACAAAGGAACCCACAGGTGCCCGTGAGCTTTATCGTGCAAAGGGTCAGCAGTTCACCCAGGGCTCAATCTGCAGCTGCACACCGAGCTACCTGCACTAAAAGTATTCTTCAGCGTCTTCGTAAATGTTCTGGAGGGTTTTAATGATCAATTTCCTCAGCAGGGATAGGCTGTCAGTAACTACGGACCCCACTGCATAATTATTTCACGTTGCCAAAAAGAAATGTTTCTCACTTCTGTGCTGGAGTCACTGTGTGTAGCAAGATGAATCACCTATTACCCAAGAAATTTACAGTAATGGAAGTAACACGCTGCCATTCAATTTTAACCACAATTTAAGTGATACGTGTAGAAAAAAAGAGTATGATTTTTTTGTGATGAGGCACTGCCTCAATTTAAAAGAAAATTGTTCCTCCCCCTTTTGCTCTCTCTCTGTGTATTCCCCTGGGTCATTTCAAACGGATTACTTAACACCACGCTGCTTCTGCCTGAAGAACGTGAGTCACAGCAAGGTAACCTCAGAGCAGATTCGCTGTCAGGCAGAGGTGTGACCTTCACGATTAAAATTTACCAAGTTAATTCATCCTCTGCTACTGTGTCAGAGGACTGTTTTACCATATGCTGGTTTTGGTGGCATTTGCTGTTGCATGCCAGTGCTCACCCAGCTCTGGCACACCTGTGGCTGACATCATCAACCGGGTCACTAAACTGATTTTTTATTCCTTCCTCACTTGGCCACAGGGGTGTTTTCTAGACTGTATCTCTCCCACTAAAACTTTACTCCACAGACCTTGATTGTTCAGGGATATTTGGATGTGCAATACTTGATATGTATACACTTAGCTAAAAAAAAAAAAAAATATATATTTCTTTTTAGAACTGTATTTATTTGTTTTTTCCCTGCAAAATATTCCTCTGGCAGTTAGCACGAGCACGGAAACGATTATAGCATGAATATAGAAGTTCCTCATATTGGCAAAAAAGGTAATTAAAGTTTACAGTTTAATCAGATCCTGCCTGTTATATTTTATCACTTCTGCCTTGGCAGGGTCTCTTTCCAAGGGGATGCTGGGGATTCCTGTTATTGAGGCAAATCCCTCCATGGCTCAAAGCCAGAACAGACAGCTGTACTACATCTCAGAGCTTCCTGACAGAGCAGGCAGGAAAGATGGAGCTTCTCTGATTGTGAAATTGGTGTGCACAATTTAAAGCCTGCCCAACGTTATGCTGATCTAGAAGGACTCTATATGAAGCCAGCTCTCACAGGTCTCCACATTTTGGCCATGAGAAAAATAAAGGAAAAAATTTTTTATGCCTCATTCTGTGAAATGCAGACAGAGTGGATCATTTCAGTACTAGCAAGAAAAAAAAAAGCCTTTTATTTGCTCCTAACTTTAGCTGAAAAAAAGTGTATGCTAACCCAATGCTAATACACTCTAACTCCTTTTATTCTGGGTTTCTACACTCATGTCATCACAAGTGTGATTGAAAAAAATACCTTCTTATTTGTAAAAAAACTTTTGTAAAGCCTTTGCCTTCACATACCCTGTATCACCACCTAAAATGTCATTCAGAAAACACACTGAATATCAATAATATACTTGATAAATACCGAATGTTTCTGTCAATGGCATCATAACAATCAGAATCTTTAATCACATAAATTCTGAAGAAAAGCTTGCAACACTTTCCATGACATTTAGGTTAAATGTGAAAACATTTTCACAGTGCCAAGTGTGAAAGCTCAGTTTGGGAGACCATTTAGTTTTCAATACTCAGTGGATGTAACAAATCCTGTTAAAGAATAAGCTCACTCTGATTGGCAGCTGCATTCTACAAAACAAAACCTTAATGTAGGATAATTACTCTATTAAATTCTGAAAAACCTTAACTAAGAGATACTTAACAACGAATAATAACTTATTTTGTTAAGAGCAGATGTTTTCTTATCTATTTGTAAGACCTCGACACATACAAAGGGTATTGATTTCCACATATTAGACCTGTATTTGAGTAAGTCATCCATACTTCCCTTTTTTTATATAAAATATAATACTGGATAACCTCTATCTTCATTTTCTATTCCTACAGGGGAAAAAAAATCCCACCACGGCATCAAGTGTTGTAATTATATTAAGACTCTTTCAAAGTCTTATTATTAGCTGGAAAAAACTAATCAAACCTTTTCTTCAGAAGAAAAAGAAAACACGAGCCACCCACTAAATATGGCTGAAAGGAGCCAAGGAAAGACAAAGGAACTGATGGGATTATCTGAAAGTTCTCCCAGAAAACACAGACACACAGAGGCACACAGACACGACAAGGCTTAAAATAATTAATTAATTCGATTTTAAAAATTGTTATTAAATAAGTCAATTCAATTAGTGATTTAAACACTGCAACCCGGTATAACAGTTTTCAGAGCTGGTGATGTTTTTCCCCACAGGTCTTGTAAAGAGTATGTAACATTTTGTGCAAGCTTCAGTTTCTAATTCTTATTTTATAGTACCTCATCCATCAGATCAAGAGAAAGCTATTACTGCACTTAAATAGTCCATAGATTTTTATACTGGATCACCTCTGTTGTGTTGTGGTTTTTTTAAATTTATTTTTCTGATGAGCTATCTAGAAAGCACTTCAGCATAGCACTATAAGGAAGGCATAATGGAACCCTATCAATATTTCAGCTTTTTCCTCTGACTTGACAATAGAGCAGCACTCAACATTCCATGAGCACTCCAGCAGCCACAAAAACAGAAGATTAGAAGTCCCATTAGCCATTTTGGCTATAGGCCTTTCATGGACAATTATTTAATTTATAAACAGCTGCCCTTTGCAAAAATAAAAATCCCTCAGACACTGTTTTTCCCAGGAAAAGTTCCAACTTCCGTGCTGAAATGCTTGTTGTTGGCCAGCACTCAATTCAGTGAGATACTCAGCACTCAGGACCTGCACACTCTAGTGCAGTGATGATTTCACTTTTCCTTCCAGCTCACTGCTAAAAATACCAGCTAGGGTTAAAAGTGATCCCTGGAGAACTCGACTGGAAAAGAAAACTCACCAGTAACTGCTTTCCTATTTTTAAGTTTTATATTTGTGTTTGGGATGGCATTTGATATCCCCATCAATTCAGAATTCTATTTGCTCTCCAGAGACATCATCTTCACCCAGGGATTCCCAGCTGCGCCAGGGGAAACAAACCAAAAGTGTGAAAAAAAAATCTAAGTATTTAAAGAAGGCTGAAGACATTCCTTTCATTTAAATACTCCAGTGCTTTGACAGAGAATGAGAAACGACATCACTTCCAAAATTTACCTCTCACACTCCAGCCAGTGAAACCAAGTCCTATTTCCTTGTAGAAGTAGCAGGAAATTCAGCTGCCAGAATTAAGGAATCACTTGGAAGCTGCTCAAACCTCTCCTTCTAAATACAGCACGAGGTTGGCCTTGCTCTCATATGGTGCCTATGTGTCTATTGTGTCCTGTAATGATCAGCTGGAAAATTAAAGTGAAGTCTATTCCTTTAAAAACTCTTACCTGGATAGAAATTACATAATTAACTGACAGGATGAGAGAAATAAAATTAGAAAGTATAAATATGTTTCATCTTTCCTTGCCTCTGTCTTCAATACTGATGACAGATTAAGGGGGTCCCAGTGTCCTAAGCTGGAGAACAAAGGCCTTGAGAATGATCAGCTCCCAGCTGACCCTGAACTTGTGTGGGATCTGCTGCTCCAGATGTATCCCTATGGGGCCTGATGGGATTCCCCTGAGGATACTCAGGGCCGGCTGATGTCATTTTGAGGCCTCTCTCAATGATTTCTGAATGCTCTTGGGCATCTGGAGAGGTCCCCACTGACTGAAATGCTGTCTCAGTTTTCAAGAAGGGCAAGAAGAATGACCCTGGAAACTACAGGGCTGTCAATCTCACTTCAGTGACTCGTAAAATTGTTCAGGATATTATTCAGGGAGGTAATGAAAAGACCTGAAGGATGACACAGTCATCAGTCACAGCCAGCACAGCTTCTCGGGAGGGCAAAGTCCTGCTTACCACACTGATTTCTTTCCATGATAAAGTAACCCAGCTAATTGACCAAGGGAAGCCAGCTGATGAAATCTCTTTGGATTCCAGTGAAGCTTTCAATATTGTCTCTCACAGTGTCCACTGTACAGCTAGATAAACACTGGGTCACACAAAAATTCTGGTACCCACCTTTCCTTTTTTCTCCAAATACACCGTTTTGGCCTTTTGGTGTTTTGCTTTCTTTAAAGAGACTGAACTGCTAGTGATTAATGACTCAAACATTAGACCACCTGTATATATACATATATATATATTCTATAACATTTAAGGTCCATTACATGGAAACACGATTAGAAATCTATTTTGAGATTTAGGGGGGAAATAAAGGCATTTATCTCATGGAATCTCTAAGCACTCCTATTCCACCTTGTGCACACAGAACTAGATAAAAAACAAAGGCTCCTTTTACGCTGGGGCTGTGTCTTGGCCGCAAGAGCTCTTGGGTTTTGAGGCCCCTATAGGACATGGATTGCATATGACACTAAAGAACTGTTAGTAATCCCAAGCAACACCTACTGCATTACCTACTTTGGAGTCGTTATGAATCAGCTAATTCTTGAAAATAGCAGTTTTTTCACATCCTCACCTTTTCTTACTTCATCCAATTTCCTTGATTATCTAATACAGGACACAGTTCTGTCTGTATATCTGATTGAGAGCCGCTTTAAGACTTCATTTTCTCATCATCTACACAAGGAAATCACTTTTAAGAAAACAGATTTTAGTTTACAGATTTTGAAAAAACATCAAAATTGAAAGGAAAACTAATTTTTTTTTCCCTACGAAAACTGTAATCAAATTAAATCCAAGATGTTGTTCTTAGTACTGCATCACTAAGGACAGATTTAAAATGTTAAATACTGTTCACTTGGTACATAACATGAGATTATCTCATGATCACTCTTACTAACAAAATTATACACTTTGCTTACATTACCCATGTTAGTGAGATGCCCATTAGGCATTTTTAAGTGTCCATTGTTATTTGCAAATAACAGCCAAAACTTTCGATCTTTGC